TTTTTTTGAGTCTGTTATCAACACCGGACAACAACAGACCCAACCGTGTGACCAACAGATAGTTTCTACAGGCATCATGAAAGGAAGCGAAAGAGACTTCTATTCATTTCATACTACTCATTCATACTTACGGTACAATTACAGTACAATTCCGTTATCCCGAACTCGGTTATCTCGAGCCTCCCTCAAACAGAAACCAGTTTCCCTTAGACACTTCCGCTATACAGTAATTTACTAACGGCTATATCGAACTGCAGCTTTACAGAAGTTAAGAACATTTTTTTTGTTTCCTTTGCCTTTCGCGGGATCAGTTCAGTCTACTTTACCTATTTCTAAGGACCACTGATGTGGTGACGTCGAAACGAAACAGACAGAATATTGTCACAAGCCGCCACGTTTTTCCATTGAAAGCAACAAGAATCTCTATTTAGCTGACGCTGTAGCTCGCGTACCTAAAACACTCGCGTCCAATCGTCCTACAACTAGTTAACATTGCTACTTACCTAGCACGTATTCAACTACGTTGTTACTCAAAACGGTCCCGTAACTGGCAGAATATTCTTAGTATCGAGACTTTTTTCTTAGGTGCAAACGTGATAGTTCATCCGACAAACAACCAATAAATTAAGCGTTCAAACAACCGATACAACACCTGCCCTTTATAATGGTATATATATATATATACATTGTATTCACCAAACTGTCAGCAAAGACCAACGTTATCTCCCATTTTTAATTGCACTTTTGACAAGTTATATACTGGCGAGACAGGAAGTTTTATCCGCGAACACTCGAGACACGCAACTGAACTTATTGCACTACTAAGACAGTTGAGAGGGCCCGATAACTAAAATCAGCCAATCAGAATGCTTTATTGCCGGTCCGGGTAAAGTTTCTTACATTGTTTATGGTTTAATTTCCACAGCTATTTTTAAGCACAAAGTCGTGTAATAAATCTCTTATTAACCAAGCTTGCTCGGGACGATACTGAGAGAATATCGGCTCACGGGTCTTTTCTGTACGGACCGCGCTGCGCTCGACGTGCGTTTTAGGGCCTGATTACATGGCGAATTTCAGCCCGGGCTGAAATTCCAGCCCGGTTAGGGGGGCTGAGATTTCAGCCCGACTTCCGAAACAAATCCTCTTGAAATGAAGTTAGCGATTACATGGACAAGGTTTCAGCCCGGGCTGAAATTCATCCCGGGCTGATATTTCCAGCCCGGTTTGAGAAAACCGGGCTGGAATTTTCAGCCGGCCAAACGGGCTGAAAAAACCATGTAATCGGAATGGAATTTTCAGCCCGGGCTGAAAAGTGAACTTGGCATGCGCAGTGATTGTGTTTTGGCTAAATTGTAGAATGCCCGCCAACGTATTTGCATGTCATTGAATAAGAATGGTCGTTTTGTTTTTATATACACGTGCAGCCGGTATGTAAATAAGTTGCCGGGTATTGTAAAATCGCTCCTGTGTTTTTAAACAAGATGGAAAAAAGGTTCCAGTGGAACAAGGGAGATGAAATCGAAAATCTTATTCGATGTGTCGCGAATTTCAAATCGAAAATGGAATATAACAACAGCTTCGTTCTTCAAACGTTCAGCCGATATGTAAATAAGTTGCCGGTTATTCAAATCGCCCTCATTCTCTGATGACTCTTCCCGCGCAATTTCAAATTTGGTGCCCGGGCTGAAATTTCAGCCCGGGCTGAACCTCGTCATGTAATCGCAACAAAATTCCAGCCCCCTAACCGGGCTGAGATTTCAGCCCGGGCTGAAATTCGCCATGTAATCAGGCCCTTAGTACACCAAGTATTGTCAAATTTCGGCGAAGGGCGCTGACACTCTTAAATTTCAGCTGTTTAGATCTACAACAACTACAAGCTGGTGTTATTAAACCAACAGCCTCGACAAAGCAGCTCCTTCTTATTACAGAACAGTGCTTTTATTTGCGTAGAATCGCGTCAATAACAAACTTCCCGTTTCTCCGCCCGGCTATTTGCTATGTAACTGGGATGCGACCACGTGGCTGTCAAATTCCAATTCCTTGTAATTGGATCGCTGTAATTCAGGACGCCTAAGTTACTATTTCATGCAATTAAATGGGTTTTTCTTGCAGTTTCTCTGATCGGATATATCACTGGATTTTAATTAAAAAGTTTAGAGTCCGTTTGTGGGTTTTGTCGAGGCCGTTAATATAAGTCGTTTGTAAGGTGCAGGCAACAAACAGGCATTTACAGCACTACACTAGATAAACTACCCATACTCCTGCAGGGCCCGGCCTGTTCGAAAGCGAGGTTTAAATTTCTCTTGTATAAAAATGTTTTTCACTGCTAATGTTTTGTAGAGCTTGAGATTACTCAAAGTCAAAACTGAAGGACCAAAAACATATAAACAGAAAACCTCATTGAAAAGTTACAAAACTGAAATCAATATTCACGCTAATCCTGGATTAGGTAAATCGTCCTTTGAAACAACCACTCCCTGGGTTTAAACCATTTACTATGACGTCATCTATAAAGTTTCAATTATTTCGCGCCTTTCCCGCTCAGTTTCCCGCTCTTTTTCTCAGCTGCACGTATAAAATTGGACTCGCACTTGTACGACCAATTCGTGAATTCAGGGAGCAATCGGGCGAGTAATTGGAAAATTGATTTGAAAATTACAGACCGAATTGGACTCCACTCAGTCCTATTACCATTATTAATCGATCGAGGTTAGGATGTATGTCGGAACCTTTTTTTCGTCAAAAATTCAGTGATATATTCCATCAGTTATACAATCAGTTAAGGAAAAAGTAAGAAATAAAACAATTAATTGCATGCAGGAGCTGACTCGTCCCCAGTCGTCTCTTTTGTCTCCTATTTTAATATTTAACGAGAGAAGCGAGTGCAGCGCAAGGGGTGATGGGGAAGGGGGAAAGGCGGGAGACGACTGGCAGATCCTGTTTCCAAGATGGCGGACAGAGTAATGGCGGCGTTTGGATATGATTAAAGGGAATGTATGGAAGTAGCTAACCCCCCCCCCCCCCCCCTCCCTGCACTGTTCTGTAGTAAAAAGGAACTGTTTTTGCTGAGGCAGTTGATGTAAGATCTAAAAGCTGACATCTCGAGTGTCAGTGACTTTCGCCGAAACTTGTCAACACTTTACTATCAAATTGGATATTTTCGAAATCACTTTTTATCATGGTAATGGTATTTATATAGCGCATTTTATTCAAATGCGCTTTACAATTCAACTCAGGGGTGAGACCGGACGTCAGCATGTAAGGTATCTAATCGTAATAATTTATCTCATTTCTTCTTGCCAACATTTTTAAACTTTGGATAGCGTCAATAACACGTTGAAAATAACAGAGATAGCACTCATTAGCCTTTCGAGGGAAACTTAGGGGATTGTCGAGCGAGGGTTCATGCCTGATATGTCAGCTTGTTTAACCCTTAACATACCAAAATCGCTCATTTAAACGCATTTTGGTCACGAAACCCGTTTTCTTGGTGCTGTGGACCCGAAATTTGGCTAACCGTTGCTAAAATGCCGTTTGGAGAACTAGGGAAAGATTTTGAAAAGGATTTAAGGCAAAAACGTTCAATTTTATCGTTGGCCAAAGTGCATAGCCAAAAAAAATGTTTTTTTCTTCTGATTTTTTCTTCTCTCTTTTCCTTTCCTATTACTCCTTTTTCTTTTCTTTCTATCTTCGGCGCTTGATACATTCCTATCAGCTGGAAAAGTTTTGACCTAACCTTTTAAGGGAGCTGAAAAATGAACTGGAAGTATGTTGGTATGAGAGCCAAATTTGGCACTGATTTTTCAACAAAAGTAAAACAGGTTTTCCAGCATAACTCTGGAAGAATGTGTTAGATTTCCAAAATTAATGCACGGTACAAAGATCCATCCTTTCTGCATCAGATTCGTGTCAAATTAATTGTCACGTGTTAATTGATGACGTCACAATGGCTTTGATGTGTAAGACTCCAAAGTGGCCATATACGGCCAGTTGGCATGTTTAGGGTTAAACAAATATATTCTGATGTTTCAACGTTGCTCGGCACATACTAGGACGCACCTATGCTGTAAAACTTTGACTAGAGCTTTGTTAAAAATTGAATTGTTAAACATTAGGTGTATCTGCGTAAGCAATGTATTTTCTTTACGAGGTAGATGTCTTCCATTGTTTCCATGAGTCGGGAATGACTGGGACGGTCGGGAAATAAAAAAATCCCCGATGGTCTGGGATTTTCCTGACATATGAAAACCAGGCTTAACATATTGTAGCTTTCCTGTGCAAGTTCTTTAATTTAAATTGAATGAAATCTCATTTAAATCTCATTTAAATCTCGCTCATCTAAATACACATAACTGAATGCTCGGCATCAATTAATAAACATCATCTTGATCAGGAAAAAACCTCATTTACATTTAATAAAACATTTATATTATGTTTTAAAAATACTATCGGAATATCACAAAAATGCAAGTAAATAATTGATGTCTTCTCAACAGTTTTGCTGGCAAAACTGTCAAATTATTTTAGAGAAAGATATTGTTCAGTTAGTGTCACACTTACTTACAAGCTACAACCAAGCTTAACATTTACTTTCATTTCTTGCCATACATATATCAAATATGGACACTATTCTCACTGCATACGTAATTAGCGCATCGCGAATTCGTTTCTAATCCCTCGAATTCCACCATGCTTTCATGCCTCGGGGCGGGCATGATGCCTTTGCGCTCTCCTCGCTTAAATTCCCGGTTTTGCCTCGATCACTATCATTTTGCCGGCGTTCCCGTGTTGGAAGCTTTTGTCGTCCCACCCTCCTCCCCTGTGCCGGTTGACGGAGCTTCCCTTTTTGCCCACTGCAATCCTTTGCTGCCACAGTTATCGCGGACTCCTCCCATAACTTAGTCTACCGCGATGTGGTAGTAGGTATGGCAGTGAGGATAAATTACAAATTTGTCACATATAATCACATTTGAACCCAGATTGACCTAAGCTCCCACGAGTCAGCTGTAGCTCAGTGGTAGAACGTCCCACCGGTATGCGTAAGGTCATAGGTTCGACTTCTGTTGGCGGAACTCGGGAATTCTTTTTTCCGAGTAGCTTGAACAATATCGTTCTTATATTTCTCCCAATCTTTTAAACATTTACCATCTTTCTTTTCCAAATCAAATTATTTTTGTGGTTTTTGGAAGAAAATAACTGTAACGTACAAAGAATGCTTAAACAATCTAGAGTCGAACTTCTGCTAACGGACACTTCGGTTCAACGGTATACAGTCTGAAATTATTCAGCCTTCGCAATTGCTTGTGATCGAAGAAAAACCATTTGGCATCGAGTTTCGAATTTCTTGCTAACAAATATAATTAGTCTAATTTCACGAATGAAAATGCGTAAATAAATTCCACAATTTCTTTTTTTTGTTAGACGTAAACATGTTATGTAAATGTGGTAGATTTTGTTGAAAGTAGAAATAGTTTATCTGCAAATAAATTACACACAGCCGGAAAATCTCGAACGAGAAAGGAACAGTTTAAAAATTCTTTAAAATTATTAAAACAGTTTACTCGTGTCACTTACATTAAAAATACGTTTGTATAAAATAACGTGTTGCTTTCCTGTACAACAGTTAACCCTATACTCAATAATTAATTAATTTATCCTTACAATATCAAGACATTATCAAGCAGGCAGGTGATGAGAATAAAGAAAATCATCAGTTTGGGATATTTTCTTGACGAACCACTGAATTCTCAGAACTAACATGAAAATAAATGAAAGTATTCCCCCCAGAAAGGGGGCTTAAGATTGAAATGGTTAATAAAACCTAGTAATGATCTCCTTTGCATTTATCTTAGTATCACTTTTTATTGGGAACTGCACTGTTAATCCTTGCAAAGAATAACCGTTTACATTTGCATCTTGGCCACCAGTAACAAGCAGCGATTATTTGCACTGAAAAAAAACATTTAAAATTTTGCCATCAACAAGTGGCCAAACCTGTTGAAAATTATCACACTTCTAAACGATTTAGAAAAAATCCAATTGAGCCTAAGATACTTTATGTTAATGGCGCTGCATGGTTGGTGATGGTCAGTGAATTGTAAACTCATCAAATTTATTTTTCATTTTCTAGAAAATATTTGAAGGAGAACAATTCTGTGTTTCAGAGAGCAGGTTGTATTGTTGTGTTAGTACATGTAAATTAAAAATTGTGGTTTTTGAGGTTTTCAAGAATTTGGCTCGCTGTGAACAAACGAAAATAATTAAAGCCGGGGAAGTTTTATACATTTTTGCAGTTAACAAATCTTGGTTCAAAATTGGTAGCTGCAAGATAATTCCTCTAGTTTTGTTGTGTTTCGCTGCATTTAGGAATATGCCCAGGGGTGGTTATTGGAATAGCAACATTGTGGCACTCTAGATGTTTGCCAAAAAGGTGTTTGTTCATCTGGTGGTTGTTTTCATTTCTTGCTACTTAGCATTTTGGAATTACAATTTCTGGACATAATCCCATGACTGGAATAATTTCGGCACGTTTGCTATTATTTCAAGGATTATTTGGAGCAGTATTTCTCTAACGAAGGGAATAACTTATTTGGAATTCTTTTCAAACGTCTGGCACGGTATCAACACAACAAAAAGATAATATTTTGGCCAAATACAAGTGTGAAAATATGCCAATCTACAATGGAATTTTCCGGATTAAACAGACGTTTCTGCACATTTTCAAGACGGGATCCGTTCAGTGCTGAGAAACGTTTACCGGTGAGACACGAATAACTATCCGACATTTTCAGTTTTTCGCTATTCTAGACCTCGCAGACTTGGCGTATAAACAACTGTGGCTTGCAAGTCTTGCGGGTTGATGTAAACAATCGTTGATAGTTGTACGTGCTCTATTTTGCCTCCAAATTTGCTCAACACTTCTGTTTTGAACTGAATGGATGAACAACAAGCTGAAAAAGGATTCATCAACGAGGAAGATGAAGAGGATATAACACAACAGCCAACGATACAACAGCTAACGACCAAGATGACACTTCCTTAGGAGAGATTATTGACGAACCGCTGTTGGAAGGAAGCGAAAGCGAATTCCAAACAGACGAGGAGGAAAATGCTGCCCCTGAAATGGAAAATTCAGAATTAAATGTTTCTTCTACTGGGAAGGAACCTGATGGATTGATAAATGAGAACGAAGCTGAAAATGAGGATGAGGAGGATGTGGGGATGTGGTGGATGTGGAGGGATTAATGGAGGAGATGTCCGGTAGTGGCGATCACGAGACCACAACAGGACTGGAAGACGATACGACACAGTTCATAGAAGATGATGATGATGATTTAGCGGACCGATAACTTGCTCGGGGACTCTGACGCAAATGAAAATGAAATGTCAACAGCAGAGAACGATGGAGATAAATACGAGGAAAGACAAGAAACAGACGGATTACCAACGGAAGACGAAATAGCTGACATCACTGAAAAGGAATCGTTAGACGAGCTCGAGACGGAGCCCAAGTCCCCTGGAGTGAAGGAGGAGTTGCCTTTCACTTCTACAACAGATTCAAACGAAGACTTTCCGCAGAATGAGGGAGAAGGTGAAAATGATGATGAAAAAGAACAGGAACAAGATGATATCTCGCCAATGGATGGCGAACTAGATGAAAATTTGGATGAATCTTCGCAAAAGTCCGAAACCCCGACATTGATAGACGACAGTGGTTTTCGAAATAGCAGAACCCCCGCCCTACGAAACAAACGAAAGAGAAGTGGACAAAGATGGGAGTATGGACAACACCGGTCACTCAATGAGGAGACCATGCCTGATAACATTGAGGGGTCTTTACACGAATGCGAAAACGATCTCGATGATATCACCGAAGAAAACGACATTTCTGAAATGAAAAACGAGGATGAAGAGGACACAGAGCAGGAAGACGAACCAGACAGGGATGACGAAGGCCGGGAAAGTGGCTTTCTGGAGGAACAGGAGAACGACAACGACGAGGACACCGTGTTACCACAGTACGGAGATGAGAGTGGCATACATGGAGATCGAGAAGAAAATTCGCAAATGAAAAATCCCTCATTTGATCCTCAAATACACAGCAATGGAGACGTCATGGCACAAGATGATGAAGGACAAGATAGCTATCCAAGAGAAGGAATCGGACGTGGATCTCAATTGGAAGATGATTTACCTGCAGGACTTGCTGACGACGTAATTTCAGGCAGTTTCTATGGTGACGATGACTTGTCTTCGATATTTTCCGATGACGGTCGAGATATGGCCACCATCCTTCAAGAAAACAGTATTCTGAAAGAGGCCATGATGCAGCTGAGAAACGATAATCCAGGAGGGTTCACCGACACAGTCAGCGAAACGTCAGACGAGGTTGACGATTTTTACATGTACCCGTATGGAACCGGTGGAGACAACAAAATGCAGACAAGCAAATGGATGGCGGATAGAGATTTAAGCGACGCAAGGTTAAACGAGGTTTTGCGAGAGAAGAGGGATTCCCAGGCGAAAAATGCGACAGCTGGAGAGAGAAAAATCCATTGCAGAGCGGAGGTACAGACAGGACAAAATGGAAAGAGATTTCCTCGAGGAAAGGTTCACAACGAAGTCAACTCAGCTCGAAGATGAAATACGGAATTTAAAACAGGAAAATCAACGCTTGAAACGTGGAAACCCGCAGGGGAAAGGAAAGACACCTAGCGCTGGAACTAAGAACGTTGACAACAAAAAAGAACCACCTGGGAAAGGTTTGCTTAGTGACAACGGGAAAATGGATTTCCAGGACGAAATGGCTACGCTATAGACATTGCTATTTTAGCAAAAGAAAACGAGAAATTAAGCGAAATAATTGACCACCTGCACGAAACTCCCAAGAATGATCCATTTAACGACTTTGTTGACACTTTTGACAAATACGTGCCCAAGGACGAATACATTAAGCTTGAAAATGAAAAACTCAAATTGGAAACTGCACTGAGGGAAAAAGAAAGAATGTTAAAGGAACAAGAGAGATTAATGGAAGAAACGAAATTTGACCTGGAAGAAGAAGTGGAAATTCTCAAGGACAGCCTGAGAAAGGCGGAAAATAAAAATAAAGAGAAAGCGAAACTCGTGAGCCAGAATGACATAAAAATGATAGATATCAAGGCAAAATTTACAGAAAAAGTGAGCAAGCTTGAGAGTAAACTAGAAATAGAGATTTCGAAGAAAATAAAACTTGAATCCGTTATCGTCAATTTAAAGAAATGCAACGGAGGCTTTGAAAAAGAAATCCAAGATATGAACAATCGAGTTCAAAAGCTTCAAAATCAAGAACAGCAGATGGAAGAGACGAATCGACGGGAAATTGCTGAGTTACAGGAGCGCTTGCGGAAGGAAACCGAAGAAAAGAACAAGCTCGGACGAAACATCGAAGCACTTCTACAAGACCTAATGCAGCTGAAAAGTAAAATGCTTGAGGAGACAGATAAGCACGCAAGAGAACAAGAACAGCAAAGAGCTTCGTTTGAAACTGAGAAAGGCAGGATGATGGCGGCACAACAACACGACAATCGCCGACTTAAGTCTGAATTGGATGAAGAAAAGAAAAGAAACGAACAGCTGATAAGAAGAATGGCGGAGATCCCAGGGGAAACAATAGTCTCAGTGATGGAAAACACGACGGAGAGCGGTATGTTTGAAAGCCCCATCAGCGACATCGAGTCCGGCCTTCTGGAGAGGACACTTCAAGAAGAACAATATAACGAACCAGAGAAGGATAACATTGTTATGGACTTGAATGACGTTGGAGGTAGAGGCGAAAACCAGTTATGTAATGTTCCAAAACCCTTGGAAGACAACAGCGATGAGATGAACAAACTACAGAGAAAACTCTTGGAAGTAACGAAATACAACAGCATCATACAGCGAAGAAATAAAGAAATAGAGGAAGAGAATATTAATTTAAGGAAAAAGTAGAGCGGGTAGGACGAGATGTGAGCAGGATGAGAGAACTTGAAGATAAAAACGAAGAGCTACAAGAAGAAATTGCACGAAACACAAAGAAGCGAAACGAAAT